GCCTTTCTTCTTACTTTTCTTCCGATGGCATGTTTCGCACAGCGATAAAAAGTATTTATTATTTTAATTGTTTACGTTGGCATATTTCCGTGACGTTTCTTTTTTCAGTTTATTCTGACATCCCTATCCTACAGCTACATAAACGTTTTCAATAGAACATCGAATATTTTCTCAACTGACAAATAGTATTTCACAGGTACGTCTTTTGTGATCAACTTTTTCATTTCACCAATCTCGAGAACATCAAATCTTTTTAACCTTCGATATTGCAAAGGCGCTTTCTTCACGGCAGATTTAGCTGCTTCAACCTCCGCCAAATGGTTGTCGTCTTTTGTTATTACAGTGTAGTGGTTCTCTTTATCTTTTCCTAAAGTAAGTAATTTCTCCAAGAAACAGTTTTTACTTTTTCCCGGGATCCTCCTCACATCGTATGTCATCAGTCATCTCGAATAAACGTAATAAACATGGTAATTATTAACGAGTTCCTATACACTACTTAAAAGCACAATAACCTAAAACTAGAAGAATACAGCTTTAGACGCACATCAAAGGCAAGCAGAAAATTTATAGTACTACTAAATAACTACTAGTAGGAAGTTCTCGACGTTCAAAACATAATAGTACAGTTGATTCTGACAAATTATGGACAGAATCGATGTGAAATAGAGCTAGTATGTGATCTAAACTTGCCTAAATTTGTAGGAACATTTTTAACTGATTCACTTCAATAAGAACTTGTTTTGCGTAGTAAAAACTTAAGTACTTCAAAAACGTAGTAATTACTAGTTTTTACTAACAGCGAAGAGTAATTTTAGATTTAACTAGCTAAAACTATAATTAACGAAGGGCCTTTGTTAGAACTAGTTTTGCCTGGTAAAATCTAGTTCTGACAGATTCCAGATTTTGGCATTCAAGGTATAAGTTATATTTGCCAGTAATTTGCTTTTGCCGAAATACTGTTTGGATATATTCAGTTATATTTATATTATATATAATTTATATATATGACAAATAAATTGTTTCATTCTATGTTACTAAAAGAGGTTTTATTAAAACAAATAAAATTAATGTNCACTGTGTACAGTAATTTACCTGATAAGACAGACCTCAGAAAAATACTTTATGAGAGCTTTTATACTTTTATAAAGCTGTCTATAATGAAAATTAATTAACTAAGGATTTTTTCGCCCTGCCAAGGTGTGGACCAGTTATCCGGAGTGCTAAGTTATCGAGGGACGCGTTTTCGAGGTTCTACTGTATTTACTTCATTTCATTATATCGAATTGATGAATCGACTACATAGTTCGATTTATCATACGATATAATGGAATGAAGTATAGAAAGATTTGTCAAAAAATTGTCTTTTAATCCTAGTTAACAAACAAATCTTGGCTACTACAAATCGATTTCGATTATTGTTTTATATTTTATAAGGAAATAATAAAATAAGCTATATTAACGTGAAAAGTTTTAAAATATATTATATCTAACGTATATAAAAGACTACTTAATTATTACAAAATGACTACTTATATTCTGTTGGTTTATGTAAGACGCATTACGATGATGGTTGTTCTATGCTTGGTACTGTACAGTACTTGTGTCTGATTTTATAATATATTTTTTTTTCAAGTTGTTCAGTTTATAATTCAAAACAAAATGAAATATTTTAAGATGCATAAAAATTCATGGATTATATGTATATAGGGCTTTAATAATATTGAAGGAATTGGTAGTAAGTTTATTCACGAGTCTATTTGTTCACAGTAAAATGTAACTTATAAAACGCTCTTATACTGTACTGTACATGTATAGTACATATCGATAAGCGATATATTTATTTTATTTACACATCTATATTTATAAATTTTAGATAATAATTACTTAATATGTTAGGATATTTGAATAACTTTTATTGTTTCTTTAATCTCTTATATAAAACATTAAGTAGTTTATTAAATATGCTTGCACTAAGAGCTTGCATTTTACAAGTAAAATAGAATTTTATTTTATTTACAAGGGATTATTTTCATTTTTTTTATTGTTGAATATTTTTTTAGGAAATAAAAGGGCAATTGATTACTAGAATTTGTGCTGCGTATGAATTGAACCCGATTTTTCCGTTTGATGTGTAAATGTTTTCACTCTGTCATTCGAGAAACTAGTTTTTTTTATTGTTCGAGATTATCTTGCAATATAATCTGAAATGGATTCATGTATAAAGTTGACAAGAGATACAGTAGTATTCTGCCTATTTACAGGAGGAATAGGATAGCCATAGAGCATGTTCAATTGATCTAATTCCTGACTTCATAAAGTCTTATAAAAGCAACTGCAATATTATGAGATAAATTTTAGGAGCTTATAAAAGTTATTGTAGAAATCCAGATATTGATAGCCGGTGACAGGATTCTGGAACTTTTAAAACGGAGTTGAAGCCTAATCGTGACGACATTCACTGAAACGTCTAATGTTTGAAAAATATAAGTATATGTATATTACAAGACATGTTTTTCTTATAAGATTATAAGAAAAGAAATATATTGATTTATTTTAATACAGATTTCTTTTCTAACTAAACTATTTTCAGCATGAAAATCCTGAAATCGTTTTATTTAAAAAAGAAAGTTGAAAGTTTTTTTAACGTTTTTTATAATTTGTAATAAACATTTTTTATTATATATATATATACTGTATATGCATACATACATTCTTTTGATTATTTTCTTAGTTTTACAATATTTTTGAGAGTGAAGTTTGTTTATTTATTTATTCATTTCTAAATATATTACTTGGAAAGAAAACAAAATTTAAAATAATAACTTTATAAATGTTATGTATCCATTGACAAAAAAGTCATGCATCCAGATTGCTGTATGCCGAATTTGTAGACAATTCTATGTCTCTGATAGGTATGTAAATGATAACAGTTATGATCCGATTGCATGTCAGGTAGTGCCTCCAGAGTGCCTTGAAATCGTTATCCCAGTATTCTATAGAAAGGCTTTCAGAGATTCAATAAGTCACTCTATTCCGAATTTTTAGTCTAACTGTTGTTTGGAAGTATTCGAACACTAAACATTCTTATACGACGCAGTCAGACATCACGAACAGTTGACAGAGTTCAAGGCTTTTCATACGATTCGGATGGCAATATCCGTATGCTATTTTTAGAAGACATCAGGATTTCATTCAGGCACCGTCCCGTTGTTCAATTTATCTTCTCTTTAAAGACAATTCGGACAACAGGACTGTGCCTAGTTTAAAGAGAAGATAATTCTTGGTGTTTAAACCGAAAACGAGCACAGGAAAATTGCCAAGCTTTGTTAAATGCGATGTTGAAGGAAAAGAAACGCCAAGTGTAGTTTATCCTTTGATGGAAAAAGACTGCTTTTTGGAGCTTTCTATGTATTTTTCGAGGCGCTCAGAGCAAAAGATGCCAAATTCTTCAACTGTTTCAGGATGTCATTTTCATTTTGAAAGAGATACATCGATGTTTGCAAAATGATTTGTAGAAGCAAAATATGAATATGAAAAACATTATAGAATTGATGAAATTAATAGAATGGAATTAAAATAATGCTATGGAGCATGCCCAGAAGGTAGTCGGCTGCGTTCAGACGACTGATCAGAAGGATGTGTTTGAAGCAGTGGATAGTCAAAACACGGCAGGCATCGCTGGACACTCCAGACAAATCATCTGGTAAAATGATCGTCTGATTAGTGAAACAAGTACGAACAACTTGCAACGGCGTCTTTGTCTACCATTCAGAAGCATGTGGAAAGCCTTGCTACAAAACTCTCTTTCATTGGTAGACAATTGTAAAAGGCAAATTTACATCACGGCGATCGTTACATGTCCTGCCATTAGCACCCTATAAAAAATCATCGGTTTTGTTTTAGAAGGGAATGAAGAACGATTACTGTGTTAAAAGCGCAGAAGACTACTGGTGAGTGCTTCAATCCTGCATTTACTGTTGAGCGGCACAACGCCTTGACTGTTAGCGGATGAGGCCATCTCGTGTGACAATTGGCTACTTTTGGTAGTGGTGCGAGGGATATGACAGCGTAGCAATACGTATATTTTTGTACATCTTCATGTGTTCCTTTCGTAGCAGGACTGCAAAATGGCTGTTTGCAGTATGATAATTCTCTGCTGCACATAGTTCGGGTTTTCCAGAAATGTCTGAAACAGTGACGCATTATTTTATGGCAAAAAAGCAATTTCCTGGGACTTCCAGTAGCAGGGATCCCAAATCAATTTTTTATAAACTTATTACTCTAATAAGAATATCGAAATTTAAATTTGACGCTAAGTCGGGGATCCTAGATTACCGATGTAGTGCAAACGCAGCACAAATCTTTAATAATTTCTCCAGAGGTCGCGTTAAAAAACGAACGAAAATACCAGGGGATTCCTCAAAACTTCCCCCGAAGAAAAGTGTCTGAAAACTGTACATGGATTCCCCTAATTCAAATTTGCCTGCGTACCATAAAGCTATAACGCGCTACCGCTCTGAAACGTTGCTACACTTCCTACTGGATTTTCAGATTTATCTTCCACCTAGCATTTATGGGACCAGATGGGATGCCAGCTTGGCTATCTATAAATGAGAGAAATCTGAAGCAGAAGTTGCAACCTCCGTGGGAAAGTTTATCACAGAATAGCATGTATTGCCTCTGTGTCTGCATGCCAGATAATATCGTCTTATGTATCCAGACAAGAGGTGGTCATACAAGGTACAAAATGTTCCTTTAAATTGTATTATTGTTGCACAGGAAATTGTTCCTTTGCTATGACGTATGGTATTATAATTACTTATTACCATCGTCATTATATTCGCATTAATAAAGTTTTAGTCGTTTCTAACACCTTGGTGCGTAACCTTTTTGTCAAAAAGTATATTTTGGAAGTATAAATTTAAATCTTTTCAAAGTTAGCGTTTATGATCATTACTTATTAACAGTTTCCAAAACTAATCTTTTAAAATAATTTACAGACGTCCGTCAACGATAATGGACAAATTAAAGACTTAAAAAAGAATAAGGATTTGAAACCACTGACCAAAAAACAGGGTACTGGTGCATTAGATCCCAGCATGAGACAAGTACTAGAATTTCAAAAGCAAATTTATTTTCCAGGTAAATAGACAGTTTTATTTATATTTTATGTACGACGTAAATCCTATGATATACAAATTGATTAGTTAATATTACAGGATTTAAAATCATTTATATCATAGTCTGCAGTATATTATCAAATACCAGTAAATAGGTGTAGACAATTTGTCTGATAAGCCTATTATGTAAACGATCATACTTATGCATTAACTTTTATAATTATAAATATAGGATAAATATAAAACTGATAAAATTATTTTTAATTAAAACTATTTGCAAAAATAGTTTTAAAATTAACGTAACGCAATTAATATTTGATTTTTTTTATTTTACTTATTTTATTATTTTTTATTGCTTCAGTATTAAAAAGTAAGAGACGTTATTAACTCAAAACTTATTATACTGTTGATTTCATTTTATTTCTAAAGATTAGAGTAGTGATTCGCAATCTGTATGTGCTTACTTCATGCCAAATGTGCTGCGAAAATTTATAAGATATTGCCTTAGATTAATTTCAAATTATTACTTAATGTTCTATTTTAAAATTTACTTCTAGTTTGTTCCTCACTATAATTTACTAAATTGATTATATTTTTTNAAAACAAATATATTATTAATAGAATATTAATATTTAAAATTAATTTAAACGTGTAAAAATAATTCATATTTTTATTTGATTCATTTTAAGAACATTCAACAATCTCTAATTTTATGATCGAGTATTGATTTTTTTAAACTTATTTATTTCTGTCATTATTTGACATTTCGATCACTTTTACAATTTTTATATAAGTTATAATTACAGCTATTTGGCGAGAAGACCTAAAAATTATATCTGTTGTCAGAATGAGATATAGGCTTATACATTTTATATTTTTCTCGGGTGTTAAAAATTACGAAAAATTTCGATCCAAAGCGTTATATAACTTAATTTTTTTAAATCCAAGTTTTATAGTCGTTTTCAAAGAATTAAAAGGAAATGGCTGATGGATCAATTTTATTTCTTGTAATATAATTTTTGATACATTTTTTTAGTTATTTTATTTTAAATACAAATCTGTTTCTATTTCTATAATTTAAAAAACGTGTATAAAATTGAATTATTCCAAATTTTGCTTTAAAATTGATAGCATTTTACATACTTTAGACTCATTTCATAATATTATAACATTAAATTCAAATATTATTTCCATCTGTTTTGCTGAAGTTAATAAATATTGCAAAACATTTTTTATGTTTCATTTGATCACTTTTTTAATTTTATAATTCATTTTCTCTTACGTATATACTGAAATATTCTTGAATTGTCACTACTTATTTAATGGTTATAATTTCACATTATTTCATTTATGATTTTTAATTATTTTACTTCACAATTGATATTCTTCTTTCTATTAACGAATATAGGAAAATAAATTTTTTACAGAGGTGATATTTCTAGTAGTTTCAATATCATTACTATTCTAATGAAAATAAATCGTAGAATAGAAAGCATAAATAATTCCAGAGATAGATTAGTTAAATCACAAGAGGAATATGTGAAAATAACTTTGCAAAAAGATAAAGAAAAAAGCAAAAACATATTAAAATTTATTTACTTTTATTTATTAAATGTTATTTTGTATTAAAAATATAGTGAGTTATTTCTTTCATTATAACATTTCACATTGTGTCAAATTTAAAATATTTTTCAGATGAGAAAATTAGATTTTGCATGAACGTAATAATGCGATTGCATTTATCAAGACAATTTTAAAATAATAATTTAATCATCATCGTTATTTTCCAATTTGTATTTATTTTTATCATATGGCTATCTGATAAATTTGTTTCATTTGATACACTGTACAAGATTATAAATTACAACAAACATAAAGATATATTTGTATTGATACAACAACTCTTAAATAAATTTATCAATTATAGTAAACATTGAAATTCAGATTTTAATTCTTGATGATATAAATTAAAACATTAAATTTAGTGCTTTGACAAACACATCTGTATATTTCATATTCCCATCAGAATTTATAAAAGTAATCCAATTTACAAATATTATTGTGCAAAAAGTATAACAATTATCAGTTTTCTCATCACTGATATATTGTAGATTTAGGAATACATTTAAATAAAGCCTGTAGATTATTGCAGTAGAAAAAAATGGCGTATTATTTTTTTGTTTTTAACTCATTGTAATTCATGATTTGGTATAAAAAAGTAATTAAAGTTATCTATCATTTATAATGGATACTCAATATTCTTTATGATAGGACTCATTTAATTTTTGTTAAAATTAATAAAAAGTTTTATTGAACAACATTATAATTAAAGCTGTTGAGTAAATAAATGATTATTGTTTTACCTCATTCACTTTCTAGAACTTCTGCAAGAGTAAAATTATGTAGATAAACTGAAAGTTCAGGGATTAACTGTTGAAATAATTGATTATTTAAAGTCTTAACTCAACTATTTTAATTTAATATTAAGGGAATATTAATAATTTCAAATTCATTATTTATTTTTCTTAAAGTTTGTTATTTTATTCAATTACTCATATTAATTTCTACAATTTAATTATAATATTATCAATATTCAAAACACCTATTAAACATATTTTATTTATTGTTAAAACTACAATATTTCGGATTGTTATTCTTGTGGGTTGCAATTTTAAAATTTATTTTGTGCTTATAATTAAGACAAAAATTTGTCATTATCTGTTCATTTCAATAATTGAGAAGAGAGAATCGTATCTGTATACAGAATGAATCTTAAAAAAACACGATCAATTAAATTTAGGAAATGATAATATTGAATAACTTGTAAACTGTCAAATTACTCAACTAAACACATTAAAATGATTAATGAAAATAATGAAAAAACTACAGTATAATAACAGAATCGAAATAGGCAACTACAAATTAGGAAATGTAATGTAACAGTATAATTATTTCATTTTTAAAAAACACTTTTAGAATTTTTTGTAATTGATAGTTTTTAATTGAATGTTATTTCACTGAAAATTTATTTTTTAAAGTAAAGCTGTCGATATTAAAACCATTTAGACTTGATGTTTTTTATAAGAAAAGATTTTTACTGTTGTTTTAATTCTCTTGTTTTTGGAAACTCTTTTACCAAATCAAGAGTTTACATATTTTATGATTTTCTAAAATAATTAATATCCATTTAAATCGATATTACTCAGACGTTTTTTTACCAACAGTGAATATACAGCTTTGTACATCGTATTTTCTTGTCATTTTTTTACAATAATATTAAAAATGAATTTTCAAAATTAATTGGATACTTGAAATTTAAATATTATATTATAATAGGATATTAAGTATTTTTTATTGCATTATAAATTGATTTTATTTTAAATACAAATCTGTTTCTATTTCTATAATTTAAAAAACGTGTATAAAATTGAATTATTCCAAATTTTGCTTTAAAATTGATAGCATTTTACATACTTTAGACTCATTTCATAATATTATAACATTAAATTCAAATATTATTTCCATCTGTTTTGCTGAAGTTAATAAATATTGCAAAACATTTTTTATGTTTCATTTGATCACTTTTTTAATTTTATAATTCATTTTCTCTTACGTATATACTGAAATATTCTTGAATTGTCACTACTTATTTAATGGTTATAATTTCACATTATTTCATTTATGATTTTTAATTATTTTACTTCACAATTGATATTCTTCTTTCTATTAACGAATATAGGAAAATAAATTTTTTACAGAGGTGATATTTCTAGTAGTTTCAATATCATTACTATTCTAATGAAAATAAATCGTAGAATAGAAAGCATAAATAATTCCAGAGATAGATTAGTTAAATCACAAGAGGAATATGTGAAAATAACTTTGCAAAAAGATAAAGAAAAAAGCAAAAACATATTAAAATTTATTTACTTTTATTTATTAAATGTTATTTTGTATTAAAAATATAGTGAGTTATTTCTTTCATTATAACATTTCACATTGTGTCAAATTTAAAATATTTTTCAGATGAGAAAATTATATTTTGCATGAACGTAATAATGCGATTGCATTTATCAAGACAATTTTAAAATAATAATTTAATCATCATCGTTATTTTTCAATTTGTATTTATTTTTATCATATGGCTATCTGATAAATTTGTTTCATTTGATACACTGTACAAGATTATAAATTATAACAAACATAAAGATATATTTGTATTGATACAACAACTCTTAAATAAATTTATCAATTATAGTAAACATTGAAATTCAGATTTTAATTCTTGATGATATAAATTAAAACATTAAATTTAGTGCTTTGACAAACACATCTGTATATTTCATATTCCCATCAGAATTTATAAAAGTAATCCAATTTATAAATATTATTGTGCAAAAAGTATAACAATTATCAGTTTTCTCATCACTGATATATTGTAGATTTAGGAATACATTTAAATAAAGCCTGTAGATTATTGCAGTAGAAAAAAATGGCGTATTATTTTTTTGTTTTTAACTCATTGTAATTCATGATTTGGTATAAAAAAGTAATTAAAGTTATCTATCATTTATAATGGAAACCATGTACGAAAGCAGTAGTAGCATAAAAATACTTCGAATAAAATCTTACTTTATGTAATAAAATATACTGTATATCAATTTTAATAAAATTTTTAATTTTTAGTTTAGAATACCAATTATTTTTTATTTGTTGACCTGGTACCTACTTTGATTTAATGCCGTTAATTTTAAAAAGAACAAGCATTTTGCAATATTACAAATTTTTCAGATACATTGTTGACTTCGAATTTTTTTTTGTGTACAACGACTTTTCTTTTGAAGCCAACGTGTAATATAATCGATAACGAAGTATTTTTGTTTCATTAAAGTTTTATTCTGTGAGTAATTTTTTATTTTCAATTATTGCTATGATATGAAGATTTATAAAATAAAAATGTAATCTTTAATTTACTATTTATTTAAATCACTTAAAGTAATTTAAGTACTTCTATATACTAAT